ATATCTGCTTTTGCAGCCAATCCGTAAGATTAAGTTTAGAAAGAAGAAGAAAAACGTATTGTTATTTGGTCAAAGAATCAGAGGTTTCATTAATGTACAGCAATCAATGTCTTCACTGGCAAGCTGGGGTTAAAATTATTTAAAAGGTTTCAACCTGGTTATTCAAGCTGTCTTATTTCCTGTCTAATTCAATGTGACAGTTGAGGGAAACCTGTTCTGAAGCTCAGGTATTTGACATTGATATTTAATTTTTATATACTTATTTATGTCAGTGGAACTATATTGCTAAATATTTAAATAAATATGTATGAAATTTTATATTTTTAAAATAATTCTTATCTATCCATTGAACTCATAGATAAGAATTATTTTTTAAAAAAGTGTTTTATTTGGAATACTCAAGAAGATGATTTTTGTTAGAACACAATTTCTGGGTAGGTGAGTTGAATAGTGTGGGGAGCAACTCGGACTAGACTGTTACTGGAATTAAGACTTATTCTATGCATCTGCTCTCCCACAATATGGCGCTGGGAGAGGAGTAAACAGCTTCTACCCAGCTGCCTCTCACCAACTTGACAAGCTGCAGGAGCTGCTCCTGATTGGAGGAGAGCGGCGTGCTCGGCGTGTGGGCAGCCGAGTTGGGATTGGCGGAGGAGGACTATATAGGAGGAGAGAGACGGCATGGTGGTGTGGGTTGGTTGGAGAGTGCGTTGGAGAGTTCGCGGGGAAGTTCGTTACTTCGTTCTTTCTCATTTCTCTCTACTCATTCTTGCTTTGGGAGTTTTGCTGTTTACTTATTCTTACTTTACTATAGAAAGGACTTGTAAAAAAAAGGGAACAACAAGCGCCCGGTCCGGTGCGGCTCCTCCGCGTGCGGAGGAGCAGCAAATAGGAGCATAGAGAGAAAGAACCAGTGAAAATCCCAGGAAAAGTTACAGAATTCCTAAATGCATGTGAATTGGTTATTTGATGTCATTAAATTAATCCCTTTTAAAACTTATAAGGCAGAAAATTTTCTAATGAAACAGTAATTGCTTTAATAAAATACATGAATTTTTGACCATTTTTGATATTTCATTTTAATCACCAGTCTGTTAATAATTGTATGCTTTTTTGACACCTGAAGAAGAAATCTATATGGTGAGTGATATGCAAGTGTCTTGAAACCAGTCAGAATTAGCTATTCTGAGATTTAATGTCTTTTAATGTAATAATATTTTTACTTTATGTGATATCTTTCCAAATATGTCAAATGATTTAAAGGTTATTAAATTATTTATTTTGATCATATATGGAATCTGTTGTAGTGTATAACCTGAGGTTACTTCCTCTTGGAATAAAGAGAAATTTAGATTCTATTTCATGGTCTTAGTTGTTGTGTTTCGGTAAAAGTCAAGGACTATAAATAGCAAGAAAATAAATGAAAAGGAACTTTACACACAAAGGACAGGAAAATTCCCGAATCCCTCTAATTAACTATGAGACAAAATTTTCTGGTTTAAAGATATCAAAAAGAATTTTTAACCTGGGGAGAATATTCCTAAGTTAAGCAAAATAATCTTTTATACCTTTTTTTTTACATTTTATTTTAATGTAATTTCTTCCTTTCTATCATTACTAAGCTTTTAGCTCCACTCTAACAGTGTTACAGACATGGAAAAGTCAATATGGGTGACAGCGGTGGGATATCATTAGAGATCGGTGGCCTAAAGGAGAATTTCATAAAATATTTATCATAGACTAGCTTTTGGTACTTTGAATAATAGAACTCATATTGGTGAACAGGCTTTACAACAATTCAAGTCCGTGTTTAAATTATCATTCTCTGTTTTTCTCCAAATAGCTCCTATTACTGATTAGACAAATGTGCCTTTTATTATTTATTGATCAATCCAAGAAATAATTTGAAAAATTTTAATTTTAACCCTTTATACATTTGGAATTCATTGAATCATTTCCTCTGCAATGGTCATCTTATGGTTTGACATAATTGAGTTAATATTTCATTCATATTTTTAAAATTCTTGACTTTTATTTTTTCTCAAAAGAAGTGATTTGAGATATATTCTATGGAATTTCATAAATCCAGAGTTTTCCTATATTTTATTCATAACTTTCTGCAATCATTGTTATCCAAACCTTGATGGTTAAGTATAAAGGGGAAAAAACGTTCAATAATTTATACAGAATTTCATACCTCATCATTTTCTTCTTACCATAAGAAATTCAGATTCTACATGTCTAACTAAGAAACAGTTCTAGTGTACATTATAGTTAGTTTATATAGCCTAGTGATTATAAAAAATATATATTTCTGTATTTGCCCATCTGTCTAAGAAATTACCTGTGATTCCATTTATCAAAATGCATTATTAAATGTTTTGTGAGAATTCATTCTCAGCATCAATCTTAGGCATATTTTATCAAATCTGGGTGATTATATAATATATTCAATTTTAAGACTTTTTTCTTTTAGTGAACAATAAATTATAAGTGTTTCCCAAATCATTAAGTATCCAAGAAATTTTCCTAGCAATGGAGTAATAATAATTATTTTTAGAAAACTTTTATTTAATAAATACAAATTTCATAGGCACAGCTTTAAGAATATAGCAGTTATTCCCCTCGTACCCACCCTCCAACCCCACTCCTGTCCCACCTCCTACTCCCTCTCCTATCCCATTCTTCATTAAGTTTCATTTTTTAATTATTATTATATACAGAAGGCCAACTCTATACCAAGCAAAGATTTCAACATTTTGTACTCACACAGGCACACAAAGTATAAAGTACTGTTTAGTACTGTTTCTGATCAATTACCTGTTGAATGTCGGTATATTCCCTATGTTGTGATATTTCTGAGTCTGTCATTTATTGGTAAGATTCTTGGATAGGGTGAGTGTCAACAGACTCAATATTGACTATTTCTAAACTAATGAATTCCATATACCCACATCTAAATAATAGTCATGGATGCCTACATAAAAAAAATTAAAAAAAAAAACCCTTTGTTGGGCAAACTATACCAAATTCTAAAGTTTGCTAGAGAGACATCTGTGTTACTTAGGGATTTGTTCTTGTGATAATCGGCTAACATTTTTTTCTCTTCTTTCTCTCTTTTCTTCTGTCATCACATTAATTCATATTCTCAAGCAGCCACTCACTCATCCAATCATTTTATTTTATACAATCAAAAAAACTCTACTTTTTGCTAATTTCCCAGAAATTGAGCTACATTCTAGAACTAAAGGGGTGAGCAAAAATAGAAATATATTTGGCCTTGCTGATCTTACTCTTAATGATGAGTGAGGAGGCAGAAATAATTGCTGTGGTAGATATATAATACACGAGCAAAAGTGAATGAGAAATATCACTTAAAAGTCACTTGAGGAAAGTGAGCATGCACACTCATCACATGAATGCTTCTCTGGCAATATTGTAAACAATGCCTCTTTACTCTCAAAAGAAGCTAATTTTAGGTAACAGATAGTATACCCAACTTATATCTCAGGAAATTACAAAGGATTGCCCTCCTTCCTCGAACTTTGCCTTACAAATGCAGAAAATGAGAAGACTGACTTGATGACTTTTCTATGATAAAATAGCTAATAAATGGTAAAAATACAGTACCTCATGGGACAGGTAAATCTGGCCTTTTTTTTTTTTTTTTAACATAGCCAATCACTTCCAACTAATCTTGGAAACTATCCTACCTCTCCTAAGTCTCATAGGCATAATCATGTGATCTCCAATATCCTTGCTAAAGAATGTTGTCAAATTGAAAAGTATTCACAGTCTTAAAGGTTTAGAACAATACAGTTGAGGTGGATGTTTGGTATGGTGAAGAAGTTACCATTTGGGGATCCCACCTCAGTGTCTGGTTAAATTACTGGTTACACTGCTTTTCATCCAGCTTCCTGATAATTTGTACCCTAGGAGGAACAGATGATGGTTTATGAACTTGGGTCTCTGTCACTCACATAATACATCTGGATGGAGTTACAGACTCCTGGCTTCAGCCTGGCCAAGCCATGACTTTTTGCAGATATTTGGGGGAGTGAACCAGCAGATGGAAAATTGTATGTGTGTGTGTGTGTGTGTCTTTAAAATAAAATAAAAATAAATATTTTTTAAATTCAAAATATTTCCCAGTCATATTAATCCTTACAATTCTGAGTAGAGTTACAGACCCATCATCTGGGATAAGTACCATCTCCCCGAAGACAGCATAGTAAGGGTCATTCTCTGTAAGCCACTTCTTATCAAGAATTACTCAATGTAAAGAATAGATTTCTCCAGTGATTTTTCTTTTCGACAAAGAATGTCAGGCATCTTGCTGACTTAAAGAACCCACAGCAAATAGACTGATATATTGAGCAGTTGCCATCTGATAGCTCGTCTCTGCAAAATGAGAAGGGAGCTGATACCAAGATGCAGACTCATGAAAGATATTCTAGTGAAAATCGATATGGAACAAAAAAGTGGGTGTAGAACAGACATGAGGTAAAAGTCTTATACCCCAAATAGGACCAGTGCCTCTTGTCACAGTCCCATGTATGTATCTTACAGAGTCCTCACCAGAAACATCCTAGAGACATCATCGCAGGAAAGCCTAAAGCTATGATCTTTTATCAAGTATTTTACTTTTCCTAGTCCAAATGAAATCTACTAACAGTGGCTATTTTTACTATTATTGTTCTTCAACAACATGCAGTAAATAACATATTAGTTAACCAGCAGAACAGAGTTAGAAAATTAAACCTAAACCCAAACTCATGAGTGAGAATGTGTTTTGTTCATCTATTAACCCAACATCTTAGAGTAACACAATTAGTGAAATTAAGCTAATCTCTAGTAATAATTTTCACTTTGGAGGTTGCTTGAATACAATAAACCACTGACTATTTCACTGAACTCAGTTCAGTTGTTCAGGTTGTAACATTGCCCCATGCATGTGTGAAAACACAGAACTGTATGTTTCTGAACAAATCATGACATACCTTAAATATCACTTGCTTTTGTTGAGATTCCATTCTCCTTTTTGTTCTCTCCTCACATTACTCATGGTTTCTGCAGATTCTTCACTGTGCCACACACACTATGTGTTTTTATCCTGTCATGTCCCTTATTCTGGAATATCCTTTCTAACTCCCAACAATTCTTTCCTTCTATGATTAGATGTATTATGAATTTCCTCATCCGGGGAGAAAAATCAAGAAATTTTTATCATAGGAAATTTAAGTAATATATCCAGCTTTTAAAGGATATTACTTTGGTCATACATTCTATTTAAAAATCTTAATGCCATTTAGTCATATTATGTGGTCCCTTTTTATGATATTGACTCTCAATTAAAATGTTTTATTTTTCTTTTGGCATTTTTCATGGTGATACAAAATCTTTTTTATTCTTTCATTATATTTATATACAATATATATGTAGTTTTAATATTTAAAATCTGAGTTTCTTCTTTTATTCTTTCCTTCATGTACTTGAACTTTTTACCACTGCCCTAGACCACAATTTCAAACAAAATGTGACCATGTAAACATATGTACATACTTAGAAAGACCATATCCAAAGGCAAAAACACATTCAACTTTGATCTTGATCTTGTGAAAATATAGCTTTCTTAGATCCGTGACTTCTAAGAAATTTTGTGAACCTTGTTCTTCTGAATCTTTGAAGAGTGCCTGGATAAGGCACACACATACGTACACATGGATACACACTTCTGTAGAGAACACAATGCAGAGTATATTTGAAAGGACTCACTAAGACATCACAGAGCACAAATACATATCATTTTGAAAAAACAAAAATAAAAAAGGAATAAGATACTTTAAAAGTAGAAGAAAGATGAGGAGAAAGAGAGTTTATGAAAAAATTAGAGTTCCATGGGATGGTGTTGTGTGTTCCAGCATTCCATATGGATACCAGTTCATGTCTCTGCCGCTCCACTTCTAATCCAGCTCCCTGCTGGTGTGCCTGGGAGGTCAGCATATGATGTCCCAGATGTTTGGGTGCCTGTGCCCACATAGGTGGCCCAAGGGAAGTCCCTGGTTCCTGGCATTAGCCTGGCACATCTGGGGAGTGGACAAGAGGATGGAGGACCTCTCTCTCTGTCTCTTCCCTCTCTCTCTCTCTAACTCTACCATACAGAAGGACAAAATGAATCTTAAAAAAATAGAGGCCCAGGGCCAGTGTTATGGTGCAGAGGGTTATGCTGCCTCTTGTGAAGGTGGCATCCCATACTGGAATGCTGCTTCAAAAAATAATAAATAAAATAAAATAAAAAAATAGAGGCCCAAAAGACTTCCAGTAGCACAAGGATGTGATTCATCTCTAGACTGAATTGCAAATTTGAAAAATGAGAAATATTTCCATGAGCGCTACCTGAAAACTTCCTGGGGAATCCTCATGACCCACTGATTACCTATATCAGGATCCTTACAAGTTATTCACAGAAGCCATCAATGAAACCAACTGGCCCTGGGCACAGCAAAAGTTTCAAATTTGAAATAGCACCCAGTAAATCATTACTAGCACAATATCCTTATCTTGGCTGAGTCAGTGCCAAATTTCTAGAGACTCCTGAAGAATAACACAAAGCTGTCCGAATACAATTGAAGCTAAAAATAACTATCTTAAATGGAATGAGCTATTATATAAAAATTCATTAGGATAAAATACTACAAATTCAAATTTATGATTATTTTCAGAAATATTATGCATGTAGAATAACAGCTTTTCCTATGTGAAAAATCATACCAAAAGTAAAAAGTCTTGAATTACTGTAAGGGCTAGTATTGTGCACAATAAGTTAAGCCACTGCTTGCAATATTGGCATCCCATATCCCTATGCCAGTTGAAGTCCCAGATGCTCTGCTTCTTATCCAACTCCCTTTAATGCACCTGGGAAGACAATGGATGATGACCCAAGTGCTTTGTCCTGTGCCATTTAGAGATCTGGAAAGTGTTCTGGGCTCCTGGTTTAGGCCTGGTCCAGCCTCAGCTGTTGAGGCCATTTCGATGTAAACCAGGTTACAGAACATCTGTCTCTGTTTCTGTTTCTGTCTGTCTGTGTCTCTAAGTTTGTCTCTGTTGCCCTACCTTTCAAATAAATAATTAACTAACTAAAGAAATAACTAAATAATCTCAAGTTGATAAAAAGAAGAACCACTGTTTATCAAGAACCACTGTTTGCTTAGTTCCTGATTCTGCTATTTGGCAATTTGGGTACAGCTTACCTTGACGGTATGTTCTGTGCCTACAACCAATTGTTTGGTCAATTGGCTGCTAGTTGTTTTGGATGGTCTCTGTTGGGATGATTCATTTCTGTTCCACTTCCTATCTCATTTTACAGCAAGTTATCCTGACATGGTTCATATAGTGTCTTGGTAGGAATCTCAGAGTTGGGGTTGGGGGAAGGAGGAATGTGAAAGATATCTTACAGTTGGTAGAATACACATTATGACACATTTTAAGAACAAAACAATATCTTAGACTGTGTTCTCCAGAAACAGATATTCACAATATTGTATTTATTAGGGATTAACACCTATAAAATATAAAGAGAGGAAACAAGGTGGGGCACAGAAAATATTAACTCTGTAATGCAAGTTCAAAAGTCTTAGGCAATCTAGTAAAAAGTTCTGGAGTAAGCCTATCAGAGTGTCTTCCACTGGACAGGAATAATTTGGCCTTTATTCTTCTTTCTTACCCATGCACTGAAGTCAGCCTAATCAGGGACAGTTATGGCCTTAGCTGGGTGATGTTGTTCTCTACCACTGGGGCAGACTTTTAAATAGTTAACTTGAATGACAAGTCCTCCTTTGAACGGGAATTTGGGCAAAGCATTTCTTCATCTACTGTAGCAAGTTATGATGCCAGACCAGATTCAAAAGGAGGCCAAATATACTTGATATCTTATTGGGAAGAGGAGGCAATATCAACTGTGGCCATATATGCAAACTTTTTAAAATGTTCCAATGTAGCTTCAGTACAATTTGTATCCAGTACAAATACATCAAAATCAATAAATTGCTAAGAAGCAAATGAAGACAAAGTAATTAAATAAATGTTGTAGTAGTCAGTATACTAGCACATTTATCCATTTTCTTCAATGAGACTGTGTGATCTTTCTAGTCGTAGGCATACATCTTGTCCAGTGTATATTCAACACTGTAAATAAAATTCTTTGAATGTTAAGTGATTTCATGTGAGAGTTAATTTCCTTATTCTTTCTCATTCTAGAGATACTAAGTTCTTTGATGTAATTTCATTGTCTGAAATTTATTATCAAATAAATTTATCAGTAATTTATTATCAAAACTTGATGCAGCCTACTGAAAAAAAGATATTTGGGCTATAGCCTAAGAGAACTGAGACATAATTCCAGATATTCACCTAAATTTTTTTGGTCCTTGGGCAGGGTATTTTTCACTTGTGGCCTCTTCCACTGTAAAATAAAGACCCTGTCTAAGGTCTTTGCCCTCTGTATCCTTTCATCCCTCTGGTAACACTAATTTTATAACATTAATTTTATGACCCAATTTTTCCTTTTTGACTTATCCCATTTGGTAAACACTTTCCATTAAGTCCTTCTTGAGAGACTTTTTTATCCCTTTTTTGGGGAGATGGGGATTACACATTGATTTTCACCAGAGTATCATTCATGACTCTGCATCTTGGTATCAACTCTCTTCTCATTTTACAGAGGTTAGCTATCAGATGGCAACTGCTCAGTATATCAGTCTGTCTGTTGTATGTTCTATAAATCAGCGGAAGTAACTGTGGAGGAGCAAAAGAACACGTGACATCCTTTGTTGAAAAGAAAATCACAGGAGAAATCTACTCTTCACACTGGGCAGTTCTTGATAAGTGTTGGCTTGCAGTGAATGACCCTGACTATGCAGCCTTCGGGGAGATGTTCCCTATTCCAAGTGATGGGTCTCAGCTGTCAGTGTGACAGTCAGTCACTTGTCACAAAACTCTGAAACTTCACACTCTGAATCTAAGTGCTGTGCCACCAGCATCAATGACTGTGCCCTGGACATGACAAACACTGATAATAGAAAGAGATTTTAGAGCTATCTGGACACACTCCGTGCAGCACTTCCAACATCTAATCATTTTGTAAGATTTCAGTGTGGGATAGTACTGTTACTAACATATGGAGAAAAATGTGTCTCATTGGATTGGAAAGAAAAAACACAACATTTTGAGTAAATGTCCTGTCAATAAAGAACGTGCCCAGAGTAATTAACAACTATTCTAGCTAATATTATTAATATTACTATGTAGGCATAAGTGCCAAGAAATGATTAATAGTGAAGTTGAGGATGAATAATAAATGCAGTAAGAATTCGAGATGAGTAAATGTGGGTAGTTCTCTGAATTGATCCTTGATGTTTCATGATTATAAGTGAAATCTATTTTTAATGCTATAAACAAAATGTGTTCAGGTAGATACAAATGTTTCATTCCAAAACTGCAAAGAAAAACCAGCATTACTCCTTGGTGAATTTTTAGACTAATTTACCGGAAGGAAATGACTCTCAAGCTATACTAGAGATTTATGCTGCATGTTTTTGTTCTAGAGTATTTCTTTTTTCTTTCTTGCTTCAGAAGGCAAGAAAGGTTGTTAAAAATAGAGAGGATTGTGACATGCCACACTGACAGGATTTTTTTCAGGAAAATTTTCTTTTTAAAATAAACAAAATTATAACAAGGTATGACTATAATGAAAAGAAATGACTAAAACTACATATGGATGCAAAAATCCATACCACAATGGTGCATTTTCTTTGTGTTGAAGTTCCGTGGCTGTCATGTCATTGAGAACTACTGAAAGCTAACCATCTTCATTAATAAATAGAAATCAGTGAAGAATAATGGGGTGCTTGTAACTCAGGCCTCATCATTTCTGGTGTTGGGCAAATTTCTGTATTAACTATGTGGAGTATGAAAAGCAATAAAAACAATGAGAGACAATTATCATCTGGTAATTTTCTCTGATAGACAGAGAAATGCCAGCTGGGTTTCTGCAACATTAATTTTGAATGACAAGGTGCAGAAATATCTCCTGGTGGTCAAGTATGGAACGTTTGTTTCAACTGAGGGACTCGATGTATTTGCTTTTGCCCAAAATTTATTGGTTTAAATAATTTAACTTTCAATAATTCTGTATATGCAATTTTAAATTTAGCATTTAGGAGAAACTTCCTATATAAGTGCTAGATTACTCAAGTTATCACGTTTCAAAACTATTTTTTTCCCAAAATGACTTAATTCTCTGTTTTCCATAATCCCTTAAATACTTCACGTGGAAACAGAAGGCATGTTTCATCAAGTGGATGTTTAAATTTTAAATTCCACAACTACTAGGATCAAGTAACTAGTTACTTGGCAAATGTATTCTTCTAGTCCTTAAGTAAATAAGCTGAAATGAAGCACAATATAGAAAATATCCTTAGTTGCTTCTATAAAGAATCTAGTGTTAAATCTTGGTTGTAAATCTTTTCTTTCATTTTTACAGTTAAGTTAGCTTAATGTGGCTTTGCTTTTTATTCATGAACTTTTCCAACATATTTCCAATGGATAAATCAAATGCAATAGAAGAGCTTCATCAACACACAGTTCTGTGACTTGTAAAGTTGATGATTCCCCTCCACCAGAAGTGAGGCACGGTTGATTGCTCCCTCCCCCTGACGCTGAATCACTGCCATGTTCTCCACCCAGCTCCAAAATAAAGTGGCAGATTTTAAAGGGTGGAACAAGAAAAGCACAGGTGGTACCACCTACTGTAAATCCTTTAGTTCTTCTTAGCTTAGTAACAGCTGTTGGTCTTTTCACAGTCTGTTAAAAGCAAAACAAGGAATAGAATGTGGGCTATTGACATTGTGCAACAATACCATTTGTTTGCTCAGATCATGACAACCAATGGCAACGTGAGAAGCAGTGTTTCCTTTTCAGTCGTTGGGAGAAATCTTCAGGCTTGACTGCCTACCTTGCAAACAGCACTGTTGATCTATTGATTGATTCTGGGCACATTGCACATTATATAACTGCCATGTGCCTTAATCTCACTAATCTGAGAGTATTATATATTTTAAAGAAATTTTAAGAATTAATGAGCATCTGTTTCACCCTGTGTAGGCATATGGGGGAGGGAGGTGAAAAGAAAAGAGAACAAACTGTTTTGAGGCTTGGTAATGTTGCCTTAAATGCCCTTTTTCAGTGAAGAAAAAACTTCCTTTTCCTACCCTCCATGATAACCGGGCTTTCTGTTCAGAGTCAAAGGAGTCAAAATCCCAAAGCTTTCACTAGGAGTGAGACAGTCAGGATAGAGTCACAGGTGTAGAACTAGTGAAAACCAGGCTCAATTAGAATAATCAAAGAAAGTTAACAAATGTCGGCTTGATTCACATATCACCAAGTCCCAGCGGGTTCTCCTTGATGGATATAGCATACAATAGGATACTGTTGCTAACTTTAGAATCATAGCCTTAAACAAACAAGTAAAAAATTTCCAATTCGATTTTGAAATAATAAAAAAGGTGCAAAGCACTCAGAAAAAAAGCCCCTGTGGAAAAAGGGGCTAACACCAATAAGCCCCAACTCAGGGAAAATAGATTTTGATATGTTGAAAACTTATTCAGATTAGATAAAAAAAAAAACTAGGCAAGGTGATACTAAGGCAAGGGTTGAGATGAGTTAGTAAAAAAAAGATTAAATAGAAGCATTTATATTAAGGGCTATATAACACTAAGATCTTATAAAAATAAAGTTCAAAATATTATATAGAAGTTGATTGTAAATCCTCTCACCCCATTGTTCTAGGATCAGTTCCAGGAATTTGCATTTTAACACCTCAAATGATTTCAGCGTAGAAGATATCCACCTACACACATCACAACTTTATAAACAGTGATTATTTTCTTGAAAGGAAATAAGTGAGTGCATAAGCAGAGATAATAAGTCACAAAATATGATATGTTTTCATAGAGAGATATGAGTAAAGCGTTTTGGGCATTCAGTAAGGTGGTAAGTTTGTTTTGAATTCATTTTGTCTTTAAGAATATTCATCACAGATAAAGAGGGAGACAATCCCAAAAGACAGTGCAGTGAGCATATGCAAAGCAGTTAGTCCTCTCCTGATATACTCACCCTATGACATCATTCTAGTCAAACAGCTCCTGTAAATGTAGTAGGGTAATGTCAATAAAATGCAACCTCTTAATTTTCTAGCTCTAACTCTGACCTATAACCAACATAGTCAATTCTAGTTTCCAGAAATACCTTTAAATATTTGAAGACATTCACAGATTTCACTATTTAATGATTGTTATTATTCCAAATTCTTTTATTCCTAACTCAAGATTTTTATTATTTTCCTGGTTTTATAATTATGCCAAACTTTATCCCAAAATATATTCTGACAAATTTCAACTTGTGATGAAATATGAAGAAACAATAAATCCACAAGATTTTAAATTTATGACTTTGTGTTTCCTCAACGACTTGCTTTAAACATGATCTCCTTGGATTCTGTCCTTTCTGAAAAGTAATGCAGGCACTTAAATTCCAGGGAACTAGGAGAAAACATAATAGTGAGCTTGAAATTATAGTCTACTTCATTCTTACCAAATTATGAATATCTCAGGAATAAAATATAAATCAAGGACAACATACAGATGTACTGGAAGGGTGAAAAAACTTAACCATCAGCAACCACTCTTTTTTTTTTATATGACTTGTTAGTTTTTATCTTTAGTTACTAGAGAGGCAGAGAGACAGACATACAGACATAGGCAGAGAGAGGAAGAGAGAGAGAGAGCGAGCGAGTGAGCTCCCTTCTACAGGTTCATTCCCTAAATGTCCTCAACTACAGGAATGAGGCTGGAGCAAAAGCTGAGATCCAGAAATGCTATCCAGGTCACCCATATGAATGCGAGAGGCCCAATTACAGGAGCCAGTCACACTGCCTTCCAGGGTCTTCAGTGGAAGGAAGCTAGAGTTAAGACCTAGAACCAGGCATCAGATGCAGCCAGTCTATGATGTGGGCTAAATTCTCACTCTTGTGGCCACTCTTTTAATTCATCATGACAAAATTCTCTTCAGTCACAGAATTCTTACATTAAGGTTCAAGATCAAGAAGCTCCAGTTCATGTTTTTGGACTTCAAAGCTCCTTTTTACTGGATGAAAGATTAAAATAGAAATTTATAATTATTTGTAAATTTTTAAAAATGTGTAAAAAATATACAGTAAATTTCATGTCTCATAAACATATTATTAGGTGTACTTTGTAGAAACTATTCTCAAGTAAATTTTGAAAAAAAATTAGGCCAGCACTGTAGCATAGTGGTTAAAATAACTGCCTACAACACCAGCATCCCATATGGGTGCCATTTCCAGTCCAAGTGAATCTACTTCCAGTCCAGCTCCCTGCTAATGCATCTGGGAAAGCATGGGAAGATGGCCCAAGTCCTTGGGGCCCTGCACCCACAACAGAGACCTGGGAGAAGCTCCTGGCTCCTGGTCTTGGATCAGGCCAGCTTTGGCATTGGGTATGAACCAGTGGATGTCTCTCTCTCTCTCTTTCTCTCTGTAATTCTTTCAAATAAACCTTTAACAAAAAATACCTTTAAAAAATTAGAAACAGAAATATGAAGAAAATGGATTCATGACAATATGGCAAATCATTTCACTTCTGTAAGATTCAGTAACCTTATATGTAAAGAAATAAAGAAATGTTATTATTTTTAAGGAGATTAAAATAATTGACTATGGAAAATTGTAACTAATGAAGCAATCTAAAATATCTTACCAATGTAATAGTATTAAAATAAAATATAGTGCAAACTTTTAAATTAATACTATATCTCCTAAGAGCAATTGGTGAATATTCAGTATGTGATATTTAAGTACATTTAAGTATAATTTAATGCATTATAGGTCCAAAATTAGATTAGAAAAAATGAAGGATTTTAATATTAAGGAGGGAGGCTTTAGTTTCGATGAAGATGATTTTCAATAAGGATTCAAATAGCATGTATTGTTTTATGATATATTTTAAAGAAACACTTTGTAGCACCTTTTTCCTCTTGACTTCAATGAGATAAGGCATTATAATTATCTTTTAAAAAGTAAAAGCACTAAGTGAAAATGTCAAAGTCTCGTGAACAAAGATAGATCAGAAATTCCATATAGATTGTTATACTGATTTTCATTTAATTAGCATACAATTACCATATTGAAGGGGTATATTCTACACTAAATTCCTTGCATTGTTTTTTCCCCTTTATTTTATTTAAAGATATAATGTCATTGTGATTGAAGTGTCCTTCCTGGTATATATTCATGTCATTTTTGTATTTCTGCTATTTATCGTTCTTGAGGACTCCTTGTTAACATGCTGGTGTCTTCACTTACCAACAGAAATCCGATGAAGTGTACCTTTCTTAAGCCTATTGCTTTCAGTGTATTATTTACATTTATATGTGGATGATACTCTTAGGATCTTTTATGTATTTATAGTACATTTGCGATGGGTTTCTTTGCTGTTTTACTTCTTTTCTGCTAGTGACTTTCTCTTAGTAAATCTTCTTGATGTTTTCATTTTTTACAGTCCTATGTTTATGTTTAAATAAATATGAATAATTATATATAAAGGTACTTATTGTAAAGACTGTTTATACGTTTAAATAAATATGAATAATTAGATATGTAACGGTACATATTATAAAGACTATTTAATTCATGGATGTTTAATTAAAGCAATGAGTACAGAAAGAGCCTTTCTTTAAAATCTAAAATATACTTTTGAAAACAACAGTCAGGGAATATTTTCCTCTTCTTTTCATTTTCCTAAATCTGACTAAAACAACATAATCACCATTAACAAATATTCTAGGAAGTCAATGGGAAATATCTTTGTTTAATTGCCTCTGTTGCAGACTACAAAGCTTAGGGTAGTGGTGCTTAAGAAAAACTGAAAATTCTGTATCAGGGTATTCTAAACAGTTCATGGAAAATAGAATTAAAGATGCTTTAATTCTGATGAAAAAATATTTGAAATCACTGCATAGTTCTCTAATGATATGTATTTTCTATGAGTTTTTAAAGTGTCTGATATATTTATCACTATGCCAATGGTTTTACCTACACTGCCAATTTGCATTTTAATCAATTTTCACCTAATTGACTACCATTAACTATTTTTAACTATTTCAGGCTTTATTTTTCTGAAACCATAGCAACTTAATGCTCTGCTTGCTTAATTGTGTTCTATTTTTTCTTTTTTCCTTACTCATGTTTTACCAGATAATATTGTGATTTTTTGATACTTGATGATAGCTAGCATTCCTAATTTTAACACATTTAATTGGAAATATTTTTTTCCTTAATCATAAACTGATTTATCTATATATTTTAAAAGATTTATTTATTTGCTAGGTAGTTACAGGGATAAGATGAAAGAGAGAAAGAGAGAGAGAGAGAGATCGACCTTCCATCTAATGGTTCTTTCCCCAAATGGCTAAAAGAGCCAATTCTGGGTCAGGCCTAATCCAGGAGCCAGGAACTCCAACCAGGTCTTCTAAATGGGTGGCAGGGGTCCAAGTACTTGCACTGTTTTCCACTAGTATTTAGCAGGGAGCTGGATCAAACTGGAGTAACAGGATTCCAAGGAGAGTGCTTATCCTTTGCTAGCGTTGTTGTAGGTAGCAACATAATCCACAGCACCATGCTGCCAGCCCTATATATTATTTCTTTAGATTTTTCTAAGTGAACTTTTGTGTCATCACATTACTTGCTTATTTCCAACCTAATCACTTTATTTGTTTTATT